GTCGGCGCGCCTCGTATTTAGTTAAATTTCGTTGTTGTTGCTGGCAAATACAATAATAAACAATTTGGCAAAATATTTCCGCACTGATTTTTCATATTTAAATAAGCTTCGCAAATTGTGCATACAGTATTGTAGAATTAAATGTCTAAACAAATACGAGCGTTTATCGAATTTGCATATAATTTTATTTGTGTGTGTATATTTACGTGTGTGCGCGCGTATTTACAGAGCTAGTGTGTGTGTGTGTTCAGTGCGGAGCGCGCAATTGCGCCTAAAAGTCAATGCTCACATATTTGGGAATGTGTGTGTGTGTCTGTTTTCGGATATGATGGAGTGGGATAAAACTTTGCTGAGTTGACGTGTAACTGTTTTAAGCCCGTGACATACATACACGGACAGGCTGTGGGCAAATATTTCAATCACAAAAGTAACTGAGAAATACAAATAACAAATGCAAAAATAGATTTATAGCAAAATAACTGTTATTCTCCATTTACTTTACAAACAACAAATGTGTGTGTATGTACGCAAGTAAATAAGCACGAAAAAATGTTTTTATGTGCTCACATAAAACAAACTATGCTGGTAAAACAACAAAATGAATTTCTTATAGATTTGCTTAAAACCTTAACGGTGTACTCTTAAAGAGAGAGTCGAAGAGTGTTGCACAAATTTTAAAAATATTATTCATAAAATAAGGTTTGAGTCAAGCTTTTCAGAAAATCCATAAACATGCGTACATACTTAACCCTCTTTGTTGTTAATGGAAGACAACAGGCACTCTTTGTCTTTGTAAGAGTATTTACTCTGAAACAAAGGGCACATTTCAGTGTGTGTTTCGCCGAAGAAACTGCTTCCTGAAAGTCTAGCAACCGGTCGAATGCGGTCTAAACTTATAGGACTCACGATTTTTCGGAAAACATCAACATACTCATCACAAATATGATTAGAAAGCCAGCAAAATATATAATTAGATAAATATATTAGTGTCATATATATATATATATTTGTATATGTACTTTTATCGGGTGGCATATAAAAGTTGAATAATTATTGAAAAGTACTTAGAATTTAAAATTATTTCATCAAGAGTATCGGATTGCTCTCTTTAACAGTTAGTAGAGCGCTTATGGTGACTTCTATGTTCATATGTGAGAGTCTTCGAAAGTAATTCTGTAAACCGGCTGTGAAACTTCATCTTGTTAGTAGCGGATCTTGGTGTCTTAGCAAATTCCTTCTCTAAGCATTTCAAAGTATAATCTTTTCGGAGTTAATAATTAAATTTTCTTTTGTTTAAAAATATCCAAAATCCGTACATAATTATCAAGCATTCAAATAGTGAGTTATTTACTCTTACTTCTCTCACTTACATATGTACATATGTATATCAAACCGTAAGAGTGTGAGTGCATGTAGCAGTAATTAACGGGATATCATTGGAACTGACAGACTTCATCGGATTTTATCGCAAATTCGAATAGTTCCTTACGCTAGCACTTGTCTATTTGACAGTATTTCCTTGACTCGTGTGCGTTTTCAGCCTTCACTCGCGAGTTGCGATGTCAATTCATACAGTCGAGCTCATATCAGTCAATATATGTATGTTAGTATGTGTTTTTGAAGAAAAATCTATGCTAGTGCAGCTCATGGCCATTCGTACTCATATGTGAGTATTTGCACGCAAGTGTACATATGTACATATATCCATATGTATTTTTGTAAATAACCCGTTGTGGAAAAATATGGACTTTTTCTTAGAGTTTTGACCGATTGCACACACTCAGCGTTTATGTCACTCAATTGCTTTTAATGACTGCTCAACTCTTGAATATTCGACACATACCTACGAACAAAGCTAACTATATAGTATATATGTATGCATATATGTGTTTGTGTTTGTAATATTCGAGTTTTCCTAACCTTTGATTCGCGTTTTAATAACTTTGCTTTTTTTTAAACTGTGGCTTGTGGTTTTAGCTTTTCACTTGCCAATGCAAAGAATTGACCTTCAAAGCTTGTCTCTTCCATTGACTAAGTGAAAGAGCGGAATTAAAAACTTTTTGTAGAATAATCTTTTAATTACACTTAATGCTTTCGAGGCACCAAAAGAAATTCAAAAATATCACAAATGAAAGGTTTTTTTGTCTCTACAAGTATATCAACTTATGCAACAACAATAGTAATACTGGATCTACAATATATTGAAAAAATATTCCACATTTCACAATTTGGGTTATCTACATTCAAGTTATTTATCGGCAATCAAAAACATTAAGAATTAAATTAGTCAACCACAATTATGAAGAAAATTTAAGTATATACAAATCTTCGCTTTGTTTTATTTATCTTGGCTGACCTTTTGAAGACGTTGTCAATGAAGCACAAACATTCCATTCATTCTTCTTTATATTTCTTAATATATTTTTCAATTAATTCATCATAATAGAGTCCAATTTTTCAACGAAAAAGAACTATATTTAAGGCAATGCAGTTGATTCGAATATGGGGATAATACACATACCCTTCGTACCACTATTTGGGCTTAAACTAAGCTTAAAGACATGCAAGAATCGTTCTACTAACGAAAAGTGTTTCAAGTGCTGCTTTAGTGAAATTTCTTAAATTTAATGAGTGTGTTCTTGTCGGAATGTGTGAGAAGCAGGAAATAGCGAGTTATTTGTTTACATGTCTCTTAAATTTTGAGCTAAAGCAAGCAGGCGTTGTGTTGAAAGCTGGACACTTTATACCCGCCTTGGTTTGAGTAATTATTGAAATACTTAGCATTTCACTGATGTCATTTCGGAATAAAAACTGCCAGTCACGTCGCCACCCACATGCGAGTGTAGTCTCTTAAGAACTGTTGGGGAAATTTTTACACCTTTTTACACCTGTCCGCATACACTTGTGTACATAAATACACACACACACACACATACACACGAGTAGCACGCAGTGCCCCAAAACATTTGCTTTAAAGTAATGCAGGACTCTTTGTGTGGAATTACATGTGTGAATGTGAGTGCGTGGCGCCTTGACACTTGCTAGCTGTTGCACCTTTTAAGTGCAGAGCAAACGCCTCCATGGAAATCGCACGACACAATGGCAGTCAAAAATAAAAATCCAATTACCGCTACACATGCTGAATCGGAATAGTAACATTGTGTTTCTAACTAAACGAAGACGGAAACAACTCATTTGCGACCAGCCCTGACTTAGCGAAGTGGTTGGTGGTGGCGGCGGCGGCGTCGACGTCTCCTCGCTGACTTTTGTTCTCTTCGGTTGGGCGGAAGCTTGGCTAGTTGAACGCGCAAGCTCTTAAGGGAATGGGCAGGGGGGAGTGACAGCGGTGTAGGCGACCTTTTTGTTGTCGTCTGTCGTTATATTCTTCGACCAATTCTTTCGCCATTGCTTCGTAAGTTGCTAATCCTTTCGTCTCATTATGCATGTATGTCACGTGCCAGAAAACACAATCTACCTAAACAGCAGCGCAAAAGGCCAGCAGGTCTTGCCACATCGTACAACAACTTATACTAAATATATTTATAAACATCTGTAAGCATATGTGTAAGTGTTGTATATGCGCCGAGTGGACCTTCGCTACCAACTGAATTGTCAATGGGCTTTCGTCGCCTGTCGCCACTCCACTTTTGATTTTCACGAACGTGCAACGTCAATTCCGGCTGACATTTAAACTGTGATTCACATTTTTCCGAAGTTTCCCTTTGTTGTTTGTCATTTTATACGCTTCCCTAATTGCTGTTAAGTGCAGTGAAATTATTTATTACCAAGATACCTGCGCTGATGAAGGTGAACGGGATGGACATCATTGCAAGGGTATTGAATTTTTTATTGCCACCCGTACATACGAACTTATGTACTCGTATAATTGAGAAAATGAGAAAGGATAATGCCGACTCAATAAATTTAATTGAATGTAAGGTGTGCTCAAAGTGTTTAAAGTTGCTTATCTACACACATATACATATTAGAAGCTGTCAAGCAGGCAAAATGTGTTAGCTATATAACATGTATACAATTATAAATAGCGATCAGCAAAAACATAATCGATTATTTATTCAAATGTTTTCTTTCCGGGAATAGCTGTTGTTTTCAAATCACACAACATTTATATTACATGAAATTGAGCAATTTCGGCATCTCTTCTTCTTGCTGATAACTGGAAACATAAAACGTGAGATAGGTCCTTCCTTGCTCTGCTAACACCAGAGGGAACTAGCCAGATAGTTTTTTGCTTCGAAATAGAGCTTAGTCTGAGGTTTTAGAGGAGAAAAATTCATGCAATTTTACAAGCATTGCATGAATCGATGCACGGTGGCTCGGTCGATTGTGTGCTCACGCAGCACTTATTTTGCATGGAGCTTTCGCATAGTCAAATTTTTTTGAACGATGTACCTAACACATTCCTGTGATAACTTTTGAGTGTTTGCTACTCTATTTTTACTCAAACATCTTCCTTTGGGAGTCGGGTCCATCACTGTCCAGTGAGCAGTTGAGTGCTTTCCGGCCATAATTTAAGTACGAGATCATTTGAAGTTTTTCTTTTTATAAAATAATAATTTTTTGAGAAAAAAAATGTTTTCTTTTTTGTTTTTCAAGTATGAATAAAACGTGAAAGTGTTTATTTACACACTAATTTCACTTTTTAATATTTCTCTGCTTTTCTTAGTTTACATTTCATTTAGAGCACCTAGTGTAATAGCAAAAAACTAATCAAAAACACACACCATAATCACAGCTAACACCCGATAGATGACGCCGCAAGCGCTAATAAAAGGCATTATTATTATCGCATTTTGTTTGCTTTTTATACATTTTTATAGTGCAAAATATACGCGTAAATTGAAGATGTTTCCGATTTCGACAGGAAGCCTACGTTAGAAAACAGAAGCACCAATTTTAGTTGTCTTACCGGGACTGGTAGGTGCAACCCACATTTCATGCCCAATATTTGTTTCAATGGTCGTAGTAAAACAGGAAAGTAAGCACAAAGACTTTGGTAATTTATTTTCTACAAAAATATAAAGGGAAAATTATACGAAATACAAAAATTTATTCAAAAAATTGTTTAAGTGTCTTCGAATGACTATTGCTTTGGTTGTGGCTTGGCGAACACTTTATCGACGAATTCTACGAAATCGCTGTAAAGAGTCTGCGGAACCTCCATTGCTGCAAAATGACCACCTTCTTTGTAGTAGCTACTGTGCAAAATATTTTTAAATTTCAAGCTTAGCTCGAAATCCGTTAAATGAAACAAGTCGTGAATAAAACGAGCACAACCTGTGGGCACAGTTATATGCGTCGCATCCAAGTTCAAACCCATCTGAGCAAAGTTGAATCCTTCTGAGTACAAGCGCTGTGATGTAGTTATCGAGTTTGTCGTGTAATAAATCATAACATTATCCAAGAGCTCATCCAAAGTGAAACGTTTGGTGAGGCCACCATCCTCGAGTTTCCTATATGCAGGATTGGTCCATGTGGAGAATTTCTCCAAGATGTATGCGGCCAACCCGACAGGATTTTGGGTGAGCGTTGAGCCAATTGTATCTGGCTTGGATGCTTGAATATGCATGTATCCCGATTCCTCAATAATATAGCTTAACTCCTCGCCGAATGGTTTAAAGAAATTTTTATTTTCTACATTAATAAAGAAGCTCGGGAACCAAGTTCGCAAAGACTTATAAAAAGGCAACATTTGATGATGGGCACTGCACATATTCGAATGATAACCGAGCACATTCTGTGGCGATAAAGTAACGATGTTTGCACCGATTATAGAGCCCCAATCACCGCCTTGTATTAGAAATTTCTCATGGCCCAAACGAAGCATCAAATTGCGCAACACTAACGACACCTGTGCGGGACCGAAGTTTACCTTTGAGGCTCCCTGCGAACAAAGCATAAATATATATAATAAGATAAAGCTACAGCGATTCCCCGTACAGATTAAGGGGTCTTGCACTTGTGTATATCTACCTGAGACCAACCATAACCGGGCAAGCTGGGTGCGATCACTTCGAAGACATATTCACTGTTGAGGTTCGGTTTCGTTAGCAGCGGTATTAGCCTATAGAACTCGCGCACTGATCCTGGCCAGCCGTGAATCAGTAACAAAGGCAGCACCTTTTTACCTTCGGTGGATTTGGGCTTTACATGGATGAAGTGTACTCGTAAACTGTAAATAAAGAATATGCAAAATAGTGAATAAAACGCAACTCCAAACCATCTGCTGGTGGAAATTCCCATTTAAAATACAATAATGAGTCCTTCTAAAATTAGAATCGGTCAACGCACTTTCTTAGTCGGTATGTATATATTTTGCGAAATCTTCAGCTGCTTATTTGTGTGAGTATATATGTGAACTACTATGGTGGATCTTAAAATCAAACGAAGTTCAGTTCTTTAAGTTGAGTCTAACATATTCACTAACTAATTAAATTAGAACTATGCAATAGTTGATATATGCCTTTACACAATTTTGTAGAAAGCGCTGAGTATAAGCTTATTAACCAGAATATAGAGTATATGTACCTTACATATTTTCAAAGAAGCTAATGTCGCCGGAATATTCAAAAAACTTCAAACCACGCAATAAATCTTGGAGGAACTAGACTGTAACATTAGATAACTACCTGAATGTGGACGCCCAATAAAAGTTCAGTTCCTATGTTCTAAAATTTAGTGACATAACTCAATATCCACGAATATTCGTATGATGTGGGGATTTCACAGATCTACAAACAGAACTCATATACATATATCTGTTTAAATATCTGCTGTAAATTATACTCTTCATTAAATTCGAGTTATGACCAATTTATTTCTTTAGATATGCCTCAGGCTTATCAGCATTTTATATGGGCATGAGCGCTAAATATTTGTTCAGCAAGATTTAAAGTCATTCATATTGCAACATTAATTTTGATGAAAAAATGTACATAACAATAACAAACGCTAACGATAATTGCGATGACTTGCAAAAAGTATTCACATATTTACTCTGTAATTCGTAAATCATCGTTATAATTTTAATTATAGTTTGCTTTTATCTATAATCATATAATATAGTATACATAGTAATATTTACTAATAGAAATAACAACAAAAATTTGAATGGAGATTTTTGATTTTGCGGGTGGGTTGCAGACAACGCTCGAACATTAAAATAACTATTTCGGGCGAGTTTTTTATTAGTTTTAAAGTGGGCGTGGCTCCGCCTTCTAAATGGTTAAATGTACATATCTTCCAAACTACTTAATACATATCAACCAGGTTTGCTATGAAGAAGTAATTTTATCACTTCACTTATCTTCAAACTCTGTGAAAATGGGTAAAAGCAGATATTAACCACGCCCACTCCCAATATAACGGTATGTTGCAAACTACTAAAAGTTGTATAACTCACTGAATAAATGAGCCACAAGCATGAAATTTCACAAACAGGATGGTAGAGAAGTAGCCGCAATATACCTAACATAAATATTTTCAAACCTCCGCTTCACTTTATACCGCATCTATCGGTTAATACTTGTATGTAAGAAATCTCAATGAAATTAGAAAAAATCTTTTTTTAATAACAGTATATTCTTTTTCCTTAAAATAATGAAATCACGGCGATACTTTCCTTAGCTTGATACAAAGTTTTGCCAAAACCTGAAGTTGTTCCTCCACCTTTGTTCCTTGCCAGCTGCAAGAGTACAAGTATGTAATGTTCGGTTACATCCGAACTTAGTCCCTCCTTACTTATTTTCTAATTTATTTATTTGTTGGCTTATCTTTCAAGATTCAGTTTTTAAAAAATTGTTATTATGATGTATACAAGTTATACCGGTTTCTTTCTAAGGTATGTACCACATAAACATTTACAAATACCTACACATACTTGTATTAATGTATGAGAATTCTCAAATGGAATTTACTCACCCCTGAAGCTGGGTTTCAAAGTGTGGGAATTGCTTGAGAAAAGTCTCGCGCTCACCCCACTTGGGGAGGTAAAAGTCGCGCCAGTATGTCACCACCTTTTTCAAGTACTTGGAATTGAAACCGTATTGAAATCCAATGCCTTCGAGGGGTTCGGGTAGCACCAGCGGGCGCGACAGCTGACTTTTCAGATCTTCAATTAACTATAGCATTAAAAAATAGAAAACAAAAAGAACATTGAAATTTTTATTATTTTATTAACGGCTATTACTCTCCGATATAGTTACATTTCTAGGTAAACTTCTCTTTAACTTTAAATTGCTGGATATTAACCTACATATGCGTATACATACATACATACATACTTATATAGTTATATGAGCATGACAGGCGAATTGGCAAGCTGACAGTTAACAGTTTGCTGCACGCATTAAAAATAATTTATATTCAAAGGTACATACTTAGTATGTATCTGCATACACATACATATGAATTAACACATAAATATACAATAAAATAATATATTAAAGTTGAATTACCTCCGGTTTAGCGCTTATGTCGAAAGCTTTAATGGCAGCGTTCTCCTTATATTTAGCGGCGCTGCCGGGTCCCCAATATTCCGCATCGTTCAGTTCGGGAATTGGCGCTGAACTTGTGATTTTCTGATATCTATGCACACCAAAGCTTACTACGATCGCTAGGACCACGAACGTAATCCGCAACAAGGTGCCCATTTTACTTTCGAATCAACACTGTGGCACAATAGTCGATGGATGGGAGTATAATTGATAACGGAAATTTCGAAACTTGTTTACTTGATTGTTATAAATATATTTACGACAGTAAATATTAAACCGACATTAAACAAATCCAGTGAAGAAAACCAGCCGAACTCATCCAGCTGTGAAAAGGAACTGATTGCTGAGCACAACCATATCGAATAGCCGGCGCGCTGATTCCTAACACATATACATACGTATACAATGTACAAGTATATATCGTATGCATGTGTTCTTATTCGGAGGGTTGTGCAGTGAATTCGAGAGAATGAAGAGAATAGGTATATCAATTCACCGATATTTCAGGGCGATAGCAAAGTCGAATGGAATAGCGGTTGTGTGATAATTCGCACATTTTCATACTCTCGTTGATATATACGAACATACATACATATATATATGATTGTACATGTATACGTGTATATATAATATTATAGTAATGTGTAACAACTAGTAACCACTGGCAGATCTCAAAATAAACTAGTTCGCAAAATATTTTACGTTGCACAATCAATGAGTTACGCTTATTTTTATTCCCAGAACGGGGTATATTAAGTTTTCCACGAAGTTTGTAACGCTCAGAAGGAAACGCCGGAGACCCTATAAAATATATACATACATACAATATATAAATGATAAGCAAGTCGAGCTGAGTCAATTTAGCCATGCTTGTCTGCATAAATGCGAATTAGGCCCTTTTCTCCCCAAGAATACTATAGTATATAGCCGTCATTAAAACTGACCACTCAAAATCAAGTCCTTGTGTAGAACACTTTTTTATTTGATTAGATATCTTCACTAAATTTGACATTATTACTCAAAATAACGGAACAATCAATCAATCCTTATTCAACCAGTATAGAACTGGTCTATTTCTGACTGAAATCTGACAATTCACAGCTCGTAAGACACGTAAAAATACGTTGTGTGTTTAAAAAAAGACAGTTGGTTGACTAGTTCCGTTTACATTTTGTAACGATTCTAGGGTGGAGAAGTAGTTCATTCCACTATAGGGTACACCCTCCCCTATTTATACACATGTACATACATATACTTGTAAATAGACATAGGCTAATCACTAATTAGTTACTTATCATAAAGTAGATGCTTTAAATTGTTTTGCACCAAATTTCTTAAATTTTGATAATAAATAACGTTCTTATCTCCCAAACAATTGAAAAAACGTTGCTTGTATGCTTATGTGTTGTATTCTTATTAAAATATGTATGAGGTAAAAATAATTGCGTCTCCATAATTCTAATAATAATTCGAAACAAAACACACGTAGCTATATTTTCAATAAATTATACCACCTACCTATGCATATATACATATGTATGTGTGAGCACTTGTTGTCATTGACATTGAAATTAACGCGAGCTATAGATGCCGGTCTCTTTGGCTCTCATTTTTTATTCGGTATACTACATCCATACGTGCGTGTGGTTTTTGTGTAATAAAACCAAAAGTGCACATCTCCATATTCAAAACTTTCAAGTAAAATATTAACATATAATTTTTGGTTGGCCAATTCTACGAGAATGGCAAATAGCATAAATGGAATAAATGAAAAAAATTCAATAAAAACAGAATATAGAGAGATGTAGTCCAAATACTCCCTTGTAGTGGAATTCTCAAGAGAGCAGAGCAGAGCACATGGCGAACACAGAAATGAATGAAGCTATTAATATGTGACTTTTATAAGGCTGACGTTTACTTGTTTTATAGTTAACTATGACGCATTAATCAATGATATAATGTATACTTGTATGCCATATTGGCTTAACTTTGAATTTAGTTTCTTCTCACGTTTTACAGTTTTTTTTTTCAAATAGCTTTCGTCTTTCGTAGAGTCATACAAAACATAAGAAATTGATAATTTTTCCAAAGTAGTGATTAATTCAACTTAAGCTCTTTTTGCTCATTTAATTACGACAGTTCTAAATGCGTCTTTCGAATTGGACAGTACTGTTTACATTTGAGAGGCATGCAAGGGAAGATACAATTTTCTTCGTACTGTAAATATTTATGTAGAATAGGGGTGGGACTATTATTTCTTTATGAAGTGATAAGTACTTCCAATTCTTTCAACTAAGTAAAGGTTTTTTTAAACAAAAAAAAAAACAGAAACTGCGGCTGCACCGAAGCCATAATACCCTTCTCAGGTGCAGTGTTTATAGCATAAAAGGGTATAAAAGATCTTCATCTTGATCGATTAGTTTGAATGACTGCTGTATAATATATATATCCGATCTGCACAATTTGTTTGGATATTGTAGTGCTGCCTTGGACAATAATCTCTGTCGAGTTTGTTGAAGAAATCTTGTAAAATAAAATAGTTTTTCATACAAGAACTTAAGCTTGATCGGTCAGTTTGTACAATAGCTATACTGGACCGATATCGGCGGTTCCGACATATGAGCAGCTTCCTGAGAAGAAAAGGACGTGTGAGTATATACAGACGGACAGACAGACGAATGAGATTGTCACTCTGATCATTTATATATATGTATATATATAATAGATATAAATTCTCCGAATTTTTCATTTCAAACTGAATATACCCTGTAAAGGGTATAAAAAAGCAAATCGAGGTAAAATAAATCTTTGGAGTATTAAATATGGAATATAATCAAGCATAATAGAGTTGTTATGATGTAGGGAGCGGGGTAAAATTATTCAAAATGAGTTCGAACTTCTTGATATTTAAGAAACCGCGGCAAGTCGAATTTTCTAAGGTTGGAAGAAATTGAGGCATAATAATCGAGCTTCAATATTTTTATACCCTGAACAGGGTTTGCCACCCGAAAGAACACGTTGGAGACCATATAAAGTATATACGACACATTATGAGTCGATTTAGCGATGTCCGTTTGCCTGTTCGTCCGTCGGTATATATGCGAACTAGTCCCTCAGTTTTTCAGATATCGATCTGAAATTTTGGATCCGTCCTTCTCTTACCAATTTGCTGCTCATTTGTCGGAACGACCGATATCGGACCATTATAGAATATATGTAGTTGTCATAAAAACTGAACGAGTGGAATAAAGTACTTGTATTGTGAAGGGTATTACAGATTCGGTGCAACCGAAGTTAACGTTTTATCTTGTATAATACTACATGTTGGCCATATTGTAAATTATAGCAAGCGACCGAATGCTTTTTAAGCTTAGAAGTATGTGTGTGTTGAAAGTCTCTGCCGGAGAGAACAAGGGAATAACAATTTCGGACGATGGTATCAATATTAATTATAGGTAAAAATTACCTAATATATGCACTTTCCTTTTAATTATAGAGCAAGCGTTGTAAAAACTGTTGGGTTGCATGCTCGGAGATGCGTACGTGCGCTGTGAACATGTGTTTCGTAATATTTATTATATATTTGTAATATTTATAACTTATTTGTAAAAGTAGGAATATAAATGTGGTATCTGAGCGATGACAAAATTTTCTGTTTCCCTTTGTTTTACTCCGAAGGTAATGCAATATTCTGATGAGTAAAAAATCGCAGTAACTGTATTTTCATGTTTTGCTTATTAATTAAATTACTCCTTTAGAATACAAAAAAATTATAAATTACTCTATAATGACTTTCTTCGCAAACTCTTGGAAGTTAATATACAACATACCAGGCAATTCCAAGGCAGCGAAATGGCTACCTTGGTTAAAGTATGTACTATGCACCAAATTCGGAAACTTGTCTTTGAGCGCCCAGTCAATGGCAGGAGGCAAGTCGAACTGAAAGCGCGCACAACCCATTGGGACTATCGTTGGCACGCGATCCAGGCTCAGAGCCTTTGAGCCACTTGCGAGATTTTCAGCGTAGAACCGACCTGCTGTCGTGACCGTTCGGGTGAGATAGTATATCATGAGATTATCTAATATAGCATCTAATTTATACACTTTGTCCATAGCGTTGAATTCCTGATTCCGTCCAACACCAGTTGCCAATTGGAATTTTTCCATTATGTATGCGGCTAAGGCAATGGGACTAGCCTCCAGTGCAATACCAATGGTGTCTGGTTTTGTGGCTTGCAAGTGGAAGTAACCGGACTCAACGATCAGAAACTTATATTTATCCTTTAGTGGAAAATGATGATTGTAAAAGAAACGCGCTGGTATGAAACGCTCTGGCATCCAACTGGCAATGTACGATTTTATCATAGCTAGTGGTGTGTTCAACATACACATATTAGAGTGAAAACCAAGCACATTTTCCGGGAAAAGTGTGGAAATGGCGCTGCCGATGATGGAGCCCCAATCGCCACCCTGTATCAGAAATTTATCAAAACCAACACGTAGCATTAGATTACGCATAACAGTAGCCATCTGTAGGGCATCGAAGCCCGGTCTAGTGGCAGCCTAAAGTGTGAGAAATGTGTAAGCGGAACGGCGAAGAAAGTGAATGATAGTTAACTCACGTCGGAAAACCCATAACCGACTAGAGAGGGTGCAATAACTTCGAACACATAATCATTAACATCAGACACCTCCACCAACAGCTTTATAAACTCGTAAAATTCTCGCACAGAGCCCGGCCAACCGTGCAGCAATAACAGCGGCACCACCTTCTTCACTTTATGCGCCTCCGCCGATGGCTTTGCGTGTATGAAGTGAATCTTCAGCCTAGAAAACAAATAAATGTTATAAACAATTTGATCAAAAACTTTTAAAATCGGTTTATTTGGCCTACCCTTGAATTTCGGTTTTAAAGTGCGGCAGAGAATTCAGATAATCTTCATGTGCTCGCCATTTGAGCAAGTAGTAGTCGCGCCAATAGTCCACAATATGTCTGAGCGCTTCCGAATTGAAACCGTACTCGAATTTGATATTTTCTAATGGGGCAGTGAATTTCCACGTACGGTTTAGTTGCGTACGCAAATCGTCTATAATCTGTTGGGAATATAAATTGTTGTATTAGTGCTCAAATATATTTGAGTGTAATTTCTACAAACCGTTTGATCGTATTTGATTTCAAAAGGTATAATATCTGTCGGCGCTTCGTAGTTTACAGGTTTGCCGGGTCCCCAGTAAGTGTTATTGCTAACTTCTGGCCTCGGTAGCGGCTTAATGAATTCGTTGACGCTTTGGTAAAGCCAAAACCCCGAAATGGCCAATATGACAATAAATATAATTGCCTTCATGCTGATTAAAGTCCAACACACCTCAGCACCTCTATTGCACGAAACTAACACAACCGAAATAATTAACGTTACTTTTTGCGTTGCTTTATCGAATCGCTACTTGAATATGCGTAGCGAAGAAGAATCTGCCAAAATTGCGACTACTTGCTCTGATTGCCGGTCACATACTAAATGACTTGTGCTAACGGGTATTCTCTTCGCCGTGTTGCTATTGCGTTCATGCTTATTTAATAGGTATTTGAATCGTCTATTTTTTCTGCCTAATACAATGCTTCCACAGATATACTCTAGTAGAATTTGGGGTTTTGTTGGCCGGAGATTCGTGAAAAGGTAGCTCAACCCAACACATATCATTGCAGATACTAAGCTTAGAGGTTTAGTAAAATATTAGACATTATTTCTCTATTTTATTAAGATCATGTGAAAATGTAGAGCTCTATACTCTCTTATAATTAAACTTCTGAAATACTATGCAAAAAGCATTAATTTCTTTAAATGGGTTAAATTTTTGTTTTTGAAATGTTCGAATTCTTAAGGCAAAATATTAAAGGAAATTATTTTCACAATTTTTCGTTGATTTCTGGCAATCTTGGTCAAAGTAAACTAAATATTTTTTTACCTACAAATATTATTTATTAACGCTTATAATGTCTACACCTGGGATGATCATTGTTTGCGTTTGCATTTGTAAACTATAAAATAAAATTTTTATCCCCTAGTAAACAATCCTTCGGGTGCTAGTATACAATATCAGTTAATTTATACAAAATTGGTTGGAAAAATAAATAAACCAAGTTGAGTCAAACTAAAGTTTTCATATAAATTCATTAAACCTTTCGTGTCAATAGTAGGCTACTTTCCAAATATATGATCTGTCATAGGCCACTACTAAATTTTCACTTCACTTCTACGAAATTTAATTCGCGACATTAAGGGATTAGGGCTGTGGTCATAGGAACACGTTCATATATCAAATGTATGTTTGTTGTCAATATTCTTCAAATAAAAGTTTTGGTTATAAAACCTACCTGGTTAGACCTTTTTTTACAAATCCTTAGAAAATACCTTTTATTTGTCCGTTTTATAATATTTTTTCATGTCTTAAACGAATTTTTGAAATATTTGCGAGCATTTATAATTTGTGCCACCACGCGAACTTATGCCCACCTTACTTGCTTGTGGTGATACGACGATGGTGACGGCTTTTATCTTATCAACACTCATAGTAAATATAAAAGTAAAGTTAAATGTATAAATTATTTATTTCAATATTTAATCTAACTGTATACGTATATCCGATAGGTGCAATGATTTTGTTGGTACCAACCAGATACGAATCGAACGTTTTCTATAGTTGACGTGGATTTACCAACGCCCCTCTCTAACCTTCTGACGAGTGGCAGCACAAAATTCAAATTAGGAGTACGAAAATATATTTATTTTTTATATATTGTGTTCCGCAAGTTTTTTAGTTCACTCTGATAAAAGATTATTTCATATGATTAATGACTTTCAAGGGTGTGAGAGCGAAATATCAGAGATATTTTTTTAGTAAGCCTAAATCACGTATCTTTTCATGCTTAGATTGAAAGGTATACCTTTGCGCAATTATATGGTAAGAGCTCGAAAGAGTATTAAAGAAGCTCTAACGAAATAAATTACATTTAATGGTGAGGTTCAAGTAGTTGGTTGTGTCTAAAAATTTAGCACTGCATTTTTTTAGCACAAGAAATTACTTTTCTAATAATTCTATTCATTAACATCTTAATTTATTTCATTACAGATAAATGACAAAATATGTATACATCCCAGGTGTGTAAATACTGAAATCACGGGTGTTGACATTCACGGGCAGCCTGCTAGAGTTTGGAAAATAAAGATATCATTTTAGTTTTTACACTCTTGTAACATGCTGAACAGAGTACAATAATTCTGGTTACCTAACGGTTATATCTAACACCTAAAGCTATTGAAAACATACATTCAGTTGGAGTTTGGATTAAAGATGCACAAAAGCGAACCTCCAGCGCTATAACTAAGTAACAAATCAAGTTAAAAAAATTTAGTTTGACTTAAAAGTTATTAAAAGGCCAGCATGCTCCGCACGGTTTATTGTTTATATTCCACAAACTACTGAGCTATGTATATCAATAGAGCTTGTTGAAGACATTTCTTCTATTATTTCATGATATCGCTTGTAAATATGATACCAGATAATATAGTAACCACGCCCACACCACATACAAAGGTTATATTCGAAACTAGTAGCAGTCTCGTCATACTATACGCTGACAACTCAGTCAAAAATTAGAGGAAAATGGCTTAGATTGAAAAATGGCTAAATTAAGAGTTATTTTAAAAAAATATTATGTAATTCTACATTTTTACTCACAAGTTTTTCATACACCGCTTATACAAAAATAGTGTAGTAACCAAATGCAAATTTATAAATTATTCATTTCCAAAACAGATAATTTTCTCTCAGTGTGATTTCACTATTGCCGACACCAATACCTTCAAACACGTGCATGTGGAAAATGAAGTTCTGTCGTTGACCATGCTTGCAATCAACAATAGATAGAAGGCTAAAAATATAGGTTTAAAATCATATTGTGACAGCCAACGTCACCTGGATAAGTAACAACAACCAAAACAAGAATTTTTAATCATTGAAAATTTCCTCGACTCAAATGTCAATGAACTCTAACACATGCATCCTAACAATTTACCTCAGAGCATTTAACTGCACGCTCGATTTGTGCGCGACGGAGGGGGAGCTTCGCTGTTTACTGCTAAATAATTGAAATAACCACACTAATAACCGCAACGAAAACAATAACAGCGACGCGGTGGGTGGAATCGGTTGTTCGTATGTCAAATTTAAATCTATGTAGAACAAATGCCACGAAAATAGAAATTGCGAATGAGCGGAAGGGCTTTTAAATATTTAAGTGCTTGGCTGGTTGGACATGAGTCGAAAGCTTTTTCTGCGGCAGCACAGCAACTCCCAATGCACTTTAGAACAGAAAATGAAAATAGTTTCAAAATTAACTCAATTATGCGCCACACGAAAGTGTTGCATGCACCTCGCCGACATGTTTTCGTTTTTTTCGAGGAAAGCTCAAATCTTTTTGCGTGCGTTGCTCAGGCCGAGTTCCGTCGGGGTAATCGTCGACTACGATGTACCACCTCTGCTCTCCCTCGTCTTTAACGGGTTTCACGTTGCAACATTGCAAGTTGAAGCTCATTGAAAAGGGCTCTTGGGAATTGTTCCTCGGTTGGCTTTCGGTCGCGTGCCAATCGCTTTTGCGGCAATTTGTATGCAACAAAAAAAAAAAAATTGTTCAACAAAATAAAAACAAAAACAACATAAGAACAATAGAAATGCGGGGTACTCAAGCTTCGAGTGTTCGCGCCTACCAGCGAATCGGTCACAGTGTAGCGCATCGATGTTTCAGTGCACGGCGAAGGCCGTAAATGACACGATTGCGGAAACGGAAGTTGTGCAGCGCAACCATATAAAAAACATATAAAAAACAAAGGCGCTACTCCACGTACTCCACCTCTTTTTCCTCCGCGCGCGTCGAAAGGCACATGCCATTTGCATTTCGGCCACATTTCGTATGGGCGCACATTAATACGAGTAATCATCAGGACGATGCATGCTTTAATCAAATCTCCACACATTCACAATTGATGGGTGTGTCTGGAATAAAACTGTAGGTGAATTGTTTGTTCGATTGTGGCAAGAAAACACAAAAAGTCCTAATTACACTACTCATTAATACTTTTAATGTACTGTGGGCTGTGGGCTCTACATCAGCTTTGCGGTGACAATATATCTGAATAAAAACAGGCGAGTTTATACAAGAAGATAGTTGGTGATTGTTTTCACCACAGAAATATGTCGCAGCTGTGTCTTATTCACCTTTGATTCGATAGTTGATTCTACAGCTAAGACTTGGGAGTTGAGAAGACATAACCCCATTATAGATTAATTAAGTGAAATTTCTTTCGTTGTAAAATCGTCCGATTAATTTTGCGATAGATTTAGATAGTCTAGAGCTATAGATGTAGAAAGTTGCCAGAACTTTTAAAATTTGGGAAAAAATTTGTTTTGTATTTGTTGTAATTGAGCCACGTAAAATACAATGATTACAGTACTACAAATTATTCGATCTAAATTCTCTTCTATAAATTGAGCAATATCGCCCATAATGCGCTCATTTGATTACATCTACCGTTGTTTACGCTATTCAATGGAAGGCGTGATTTTACTACAACGGCAAGTCACTGCGGCATCGGAATTGTTGCAGTCCCATTAGCACAATTTCTTAACTTTTCCCTGCACTCCCTTTAATGGCTGTTTGTTTTTATGTATTGTAATTCCACTTAATTTGCTCTATACCTTTGCTTTTGAGAGTAGGTTCACATCCTTAATGGTGTTGACGTGTTGCCGAGGAGTGCAATGACATTTCTGGAGGAAATTTTTACGGCAATTATGTATTTGTGGGTTAAAATTAATGTTTAAAGAGGTTTGAGTTCGTTAAGTTCGAAAACAATTTTGCGCTCTTAGAGAACATTAAATAATAGTTTTATAGTATTCAACGAAATCATGAAAGACTATAACAAGCTGGTTAAAAAAGGTTACTTGTCTTTTATAAAACGTGTTTGTTCTGGTTACGTAGGCGATCTGTCGTGGATGGTGGTGAAACGGATGTCCAAATTAACTGCTCAAACTTATTCGCCAATTTCCTTCACTTTGTTTGACAAAACTATAGCAACGCCTAAAAGTATGCAGTATGTTTGCGCTTTTGATTTCTTACTGATATATCGCATCAATTTATCTTTCATATGGATGTATACTACGTCGCAATTAAATTAATATGTATTTTGGATATTTTTTTAAACAAATAATATATAATAATGCTGATCATACTAGAAATATAAGAGTTTCTAGTTGAATCTACAAAATCAAATATTTATATATGCGAATAATCTTAAGCGATCAAAATTTAATTAGGATCACATCACATCGCCCTTCATCGCATCACATCGGTTAGTATGATATCTTTAAGAAATTTTTTTAGAAATTAAATGATAAATTTGATCGATAATAGACTTTTGCGAGTGGTAGCACAAGGGTGATCACAGTCATATACTTACGTAAATATGATTGCTTGAATTATACACAGTCATGTTTCTATTGTACAATATATCCTTACGTTTTGTTTACTTACATTTATCTATTTATTTTGTAGTTCAAAGTGTCATCAAGCAAATCAAAGAAATATACTAGTATAATTTATTAGCGCACGTCATATTTGGAAAACTTGAAAAGAATACGCTAATAAACAAGTGTCTTCTCCGTCCATTATAACTCCCGCTTTGCTTTGGATGAATACCAAAAGTTTTCGTGGGTGTTAAAAACTTTCAACACGCGAAGTAAAAGTGTAAGTCGAGATATTAGCTAAGGTGTCTGAGCTGAATGTTCCGCAGTTATCGCTGCCGGCATTCCATATGAATAGGCATACCTAACTTTATTTCGTTTCTTTGCTTAGGTATTTTGTCATCGAAGCTTACAGTGCTTTTCGACTGTTGAAATAAGAAATAAAAAAATATATGGGTATTCCTTGAATGGATTGGATTGCTTTCAATGGATGCATTCATTCATTCAATGCCTCCATGAATAAGAATTCAATGGATTTCTAAAAGGTTCTCATTAAATGACACATTTCTAAGTGCTCTCTTTGTTTTTAGAAATATATTTAAAATAATTATGGGTATGATAAATTTATCTTGAGCTTACAATTTTTACTGCTATATTATGAACTATTTCCTTCTGTTCCCCTTGTGAAATGTGACCTATTTATCAGTTGTTACTGCATTTGAAAAAGTGTTTACTATAAATAAATCAACGCTGGTTTTATTTTAGTATTTAATGTTACGTAAACCGAGCCCACCTGTTGTTGTTGTGTGAACAAGAAACTAGGTAACTGACAAAATAAGTTTCGGTAGCAACATTTTTTCGGTATTAAGATATAAAAACATGCTAATGTGTATAGATTTTAATAAATGTTAATCGACCGTTACCTTTCGCCTTCGGTGGAAAATTCGCAATAAATTAAATGGTTAGTAATATCTATAGTATATGTTAGGCTGTTTAAGTCGTCGAGAAATATAGCGGTTACCTTTCAATATTCGATTCCAAATTTTATACATTTATTTGCTTCGACCTATATATCATATAGTTATATTTTGTTATATCGTATACATATACATACATTTGACTCTTACACCATCTTAATCACACAAATCTATTCCTACAACTACTAAGCACATTTCTTAATTCACTAGCGGCTCTCCCTTCGCATCGTCCCAAACAGGGAAGCGCTCTTTACCGCGTTCGGTGGCGTCTTGATATTCATATCCCGGATCGATTGTGCGATCGAAGGCACCTCGCTTTACACGTTTAACACGCCTATGAGGTATGAGCGAGTCCTGCGGTATCTCCTGTTTCAAATGAATAATTTCGTAAAATTGTGAAGAAAGAAATTGCATATACTCACCTCTTCCAGGCGCAGAATTGGCCAGGCAGCACCGGGGCCACCAAAAAGTGGTTCTGCGTCCGTTTGTCTCGGCCCGCCGATAAGCCAGATGCACAAGCAAAGCAAAAGTAGCACAAAGCTGGCAGCTGATTTCATAATTGTTCTATTTGAAGTGTCTTTAAGTAATGAATAGAATAGGCTTTATGCCAGCGTACAATTACTGTGTGCTCAATTCACTTTCACTGGTAGTTCCACATACGATCGTCTACACTTGGACACTGAACTGGCAGAGAGAAGTCTTTTTCTAAAATATAATTGTACACATAATTATTTTCTCAAAGAATTACAAACACATATGTACATACTAGTGTGTATAGGAAAGTTTGTTGATATGCTCCTTCTACTCATTTCTTGTATTTCACTTAATATTTTGGTTTCTAGTTCTGTGTTTACATTTGTTATTGTTTCTAGTCGAATTTCATTTGCCATGGCGCCGCAGCAGGCGTTGAGGGTGCTGTGTTGTTGTTGTCGTATGCATTGTGTGACATTTCTCAGCTGAAATACAAAACGTCGATTTGAACAGATGTTTTCGAGAGAGCAACCTTACCGCATGCTCCGTGCTCGGAGATGAGGAACTGAGAAATCATATGATCTGCCTCAGCTGTTGATCGCTGAATCGAAAGTGTTTCAATATGGTTGTAGTTGTATATATATAAAGAAAAAAAAATTTACTCTCTCCTATATTAATAGGGTACATATGCAACTATAAATGTAAACAGGGTGTTGGCTATTGCAGTTCTGATCTCCAATAAATAATAAAATAATGATGAAAACTTAGTTCGAATTATTAACGGTCTTATGAATCATAAATCGGTAGTTCAAAATATTTTGATCATTATTAAGAGAATTCTGACTAAATACGAAGGTTACAATTTTTAAATCCGGCCTTGTAAACTTCTATCTTACATTTCTGTTAAAGACTGACATATTTCATAATAGATGCAGAACTTTCTGAGGCATGGACTACAATAGGGTTTTATGGCAACAAGTATATAAAGTAGATTTTTTAACTAAAATCGCTGTCAAAACAGTTTTAACCATGTGAACACCGGAAAAATCAATTAATTGCGAAAATTAAAATTGCTTTTCGAAATGTACATACCTAAATCACTCTGCAAAGTGAACTTGCAGTTTTCTCGTGTTCCGCTAACAAGTTTTCTTTTTCTTGGAAGTGCTGTCAAACGATTTGAGTATTGTCATATAGACTGTTGACGAATGACTGTGAAATACCAGTTTCAAATACTAAAAAAATTCTGATGAATTGATTTAATGGAACAAGATGTTCAATGTGCAACATGTTCAAGGTGAAAAATGAAAAGTACTTTCACAAAGTGGGCGTTCAAGCAACTTTTGGAAATAAAAATTCACTTCTAAAATATATTTCACATTCTTTGTGTGCCTGCTTCTGTAATCACTTCAGATTGGCGGGTATGTACATAGACTCTACTTTGCATTCCGGATGACACTCAAGCGTTTTATGTTTTTTTTCCGCAATTCTCAGCGAATGAACTGTTCATCATTTAACGCTTTCAGATTAATGAAGATGTTTTGCGCGTATTAGTTGAGCATATTATGACCTTCCCCATTGGATGAATGTCTCTTGGACATATGTATGATATATATAATATATGGAAGTATGAACTATTAAAAGCAAAAGGTCATTTAAAATATGCTATTTTGATAATTTGGTTTACGTAAGAATCCCCTACTTATATTCAGTTTTACTTTGATAATTTCCACCGAAGCTTATTGATAATTTTTGGTTTAAACTGAGAAGGGACTTTCAATCCGGTGATTTTTTTAATTTTAAATGTAGCATATAAAAGCATTATAAATATTTGCAGTATCTGTTGCAAATCAAACCATTTGGAATTGAATTCGCATACAGTTCGGTTCGAATACTCGAAAGAAAAAATCGTAAAAATGTCTGTGAAAGTATTTATTTTATTTTGCTTTTTGAGCTCAGTCCTAGCTTATCCTGCAAATCAGCAGGATCAGTGGTACAAAGTAAGTCGATTATTTAGTTTAACGTTACAATAAAGACTCTTGTGTCAATCCTTAACCTCAAAAAAAAAAAATATATATATATATATAATTTTCTTCTTTATCATAACCCACAGCCGCCCCAAAGACAGCCTCAGGTCAATTTACAAGGAGGTGGTAGTCCTAAGCAAGGTATTGATTTGAGTCTAGACACGCGTGTGCCTGTCTGGCAAAGCAGTAATGGTCGACACGAATTCGATGCCACTGGACATTACTCGCAACGATATGGCAATAGCCCTCCTAATTTGGGAGCGGGCGGCATATACACTTACAGGTTTTAAACCTACTGCAAAATAAATATATTATAATTAAAGTGTTGACAGTTGTAAATCATTAAAATATCAATAGTAAAGTAAATCAGTTTTAGATACTTTATTTTATTTCGTGGAGAAAGTTTGATCTTTGTCGGAGTTTTGAGTTCTAGTTCATTTATATAACAGTTTAGTGCATATTTGTGAAGTTATTCAATTTGAAGAGACATTAGAAGGGATTAATTTCAAGATCATTTGTGTTAAGATATGGCATTCGTACTATAGTCTTCTCGGAAGTTATGTACTACTCTAGTAAAACTATCTAAATCAAGCATATAAAAACTGATCAGGATCATAAAAGAAATTGATTTATGGATGTCTGCCTCTCCGCGTGAAGAAGCAGAAAAATTAAGTTATCTTTGCGATACTTGATACAGATGGTTTTGGGACTCTGAGAGAAGTAATATAATTTAGTCGACTATGAAACTACGAAACAAATTTGGTTATCATATGTAGATATCCCACACCTCCATATTTCAACATTACTAAGCAGTGATTACTATCTATAGAATTATTCCATATAGGGTCAATTTAACAAAAATATTGTCACAGAAGTTTGGAGCGGCTGATGAAATCAGACAATGACTGTGGAATCATCCGCCGCTTCACCTTATTCGCCTGATTTGTTGCCTTTTTTTCTTTTCTTAAACTCCTGTGACTATTCTACTAAACACGTCTTAAGTCGGTTGAAACCATAAAAAGAAAGTTGGGCGGATAAAAAATGTGTGCGTGCACAAGGTTGGAATCTGAACAAAGGAGTTTTTAGGTAAATTTTATGTTTGTAAAAGTCTACGCTTTGGTAGAAATTTGAAAGATTTTATAAAAATTTTAATGTATTCACTATACATTTTCAATATTTCCCTGGCTTTGGCTATAGCACAGAGGCGTCGAGTTCTGTTACGGTAGCAACATAGAACGAGTCGAGCTAACTTCATGCAAAATATATTTACGTGATTATAAAATCGACGTTTAAAAAAATGGCGAAACCTTCAACGATTTGACTTATTCCGGAAGGTCAGTAATTTTAAAAACAAATAAATAATTAATGTAAGCAAAAGTGTGTAAATACCGTCTCTTTATTAATTGACGAGACTAATGGAAAGCTCATCGATGAAAAGCACTTCTGATGAATTGATAAAAACACCAAAGCAATAAATCTATTAATTAAATGAAAAAGATTTTCTTAATAAACAGCAAATCATGATTAAGATGTTTTCAGCATCGGCTATGTACAAACACGCACACCGCTGTGGTTGTCTCTCCCAAGAATTCTTCACATTTATGAACCCATATACACTATGTGTCTACAAGTATATGCGTTTGCTTTTCGGCTCTTTTTTATTTTAAGAGAAACAAATAGTTGTGTATACAATTGACAATTAACCTTCTAGGAAACAGTCAATATGCTCATTCGCGCCATCTGCCCGCTGACGGACGCGCTAAGCGCTCGGACGCTGTGTTGTAGGGGCGAAACGGTAGACATTATGGCGTTCACAGCAAATCGTCGGTGAATATGCTTGTCTCTAACTTGTTCTTACTTTTGTTTATTGCTAACAGAAGCTTTGGTTAACAAGAAGAAATACACTTGGGCGTCAACGCGCATTTGTACAATTTTGAAGTTTTTTTTTAGTTTTACCAAAGAGGAATTTAACGAATTACTTGGCGTAATTGCTGTACATTTTTAACGGTGTACAAAGTGTCAAAGCTTTGCAACATTGAGTAATGAGCTGCGATGATTAAGTGGCTGAGTGTGATAAGTCGATGACTAAACAATGACTTCAAACGGTTATAATTTTAAATTGCATTGTTTTCTAATTAAAACTCATACTTCGAAAATAGAATGAAAATTTAGTGTGTGCATACATAAATATGTACATACAGTTGCATTAGTTTGAAGGCTATCCTCTTAGGACCTTAGACATTTAATGGTTAAATACTTAATTTGATAAGAGGGTTAAAAATTGAACACGAAAACGTTAACTTTGGTTGCACTGTGGCTTCTCAAATAAAAAAGTTTTTCAACAAGGATTTGATTTGGATCGTTCATGTCAGCCTTATGCTGTAGTGATTCGATAAGGAGAATTCCGATAAATGAGCTGCGTCTTGAGGCGGAAAGAATGTGTGCAAAATTTCATATCAATATCTTAAACACTGAGAGACTAGCTCGTGTATGTACAGGCAGACGGACGTGGCTAAACCATCACGCTGATCATTTATATATATATTTGGAAATGTCTTTGACGTTTATTTCTGAGTCTTCAGGGTATAAAAATGATAAATATTCTAAGAAGTAGAGAAAAGATATTGAATTTCATATAAACCACGTTTAACATTTAGAGGTGTAAACTTATCCAAAACTGCGACATTCCAGTAGATCACTAAAGACGCAGAGGTAAATTGTCGAACTACTAATTAGGTGTTTTGAAAGTCTAAGGTAATAAATGCATAAGTCAAGCTCTATTCGTTAGTAAACTGTATCGGTTCATTGGTTGGAGCAATCGCTCGTAGAATTACAAAAATACTCGCGTGTGTGTCAACGCGCATCACTTTAAATGGGGCAAAAAGCGTAAACAATTAAAGTCAGTTTAGAAAGATAGCGCCAAAATGACTCAAGACATTAACCCCCGCAAGTGCCTTATCTTCATACCAAGGCATCTTGGCATGCTACATACATACTACCTATGTATTTATATATGGTCGTATAAATGTAAGATTGAAGACGATCCCTCTAAACCTACCTATTTAACGATGCGTGGGAATTGAACGAATGCAAAGTGTTGAGAAAGATTTCTGTGATTTTCCGACGATTTGAAAATGTCGATTTCACATCACAGAAAAGGAGCAGTCAATTAAATTCGAAGGTAGACATTCAAAGCGGTGTCTCAAACTGATGACGATTGACGATTGCTGGGCTGATATGAAGTTGCAAGCATCGCTGAACATTCGTTATTCAGTTTTCCTAAGTTTAATGGTTCGGTTATTTTATTGCGATTGACTCTGCCAAATTAATTGAACCGACAAGTGTTTGCATGTACATTTACCGTTATTGTGCATCCCAAACAAAGGTGGGTGTGTGTAAATACATTCTATATATACTCGTTGCATTCGCAGTAGCTTTGCATTGTCAAACAATTTTTGCTCAAAACGCTCCTACCTAAAGCTTTCCCCATTGGCACTGGTGTTTGCTTTAATCCGCATCCATTTTGTGGGGTACACACGTTTTTTAATAGATCAAAGCAAATAAATACCTACGATGTTAGGGTGACACTCTCAGACCGTTATGGGATACTCCAAAATCGCAAGCTTTTGGCAAAGCCACATGTGTATATTATATAGGGTGCTTCGTAGCCTTCGGACAAGTGAGCTTTATATAAGTTACTAAGGAATCACTTTACCAGTCCTCGTTTCAATTTCGATTACTGAGGGCACCCTTAATATAATAGTGTGTATGCTATGTATTTCAATCAATATATATCTTAGCTTATAAAAAGTCACAGAAAAGTTTTGCTCAATTAAATAAATAAATGCACACATACATATGCACAAGCTGCATTCAAGTGCAGCGGTGGAGTTGTCCCAAACGACGCTTGAGTGCAAGAATCGTTTAGTTGGCGGAAAAATTTCTCCTCGCCATGCTATAAATCAAGTACAAATCACTTGACCTCCTACAACGTAAAGTCTCTTACTTTTTGCTGCCGTTGCCTCTCTCGCTGCACCCCTCTAATTTCCACCAGCCGAACAATGGATGGTGGTGCGATTGGTGACGGCGTGCTTTTTGCTGTTTTTTTTTGTTGTTGTTTCTCACATTGACAGTGATATCGAAAAGCGGCGTAGTGACTGCCATTTAACCCAAGTTACGAGCGCTGGCTTAACGGCGGCCGAGGGAGCGCTTTGTGCCGCTTGTCACTGCCTTAGTTCAAATTTGCCAATTTACATAGAAAAATATTGACACAAACAAACAATTTATCTTGCAATTTATTTGCAATTTGGACCAGAGTGCTTCCCATTGCGGAACAGATTAGACCACCATCGCTATTTGCCAGCCTGGCCGGCTGCCATTGAACCGCCATCGCCTTGCCACAGCGACAGCCACAACCGCATCCGCAGCCTCCAATTATGCGGCAGCGTTCTGCTGACGATTTGTCGCACCGACGCGCCGCAGCCAGGGTGTCCAATGGCAATTGCTAAACGCGGCTGTTGGCAATTGAACTTTGTGTATGTTGTGTGGTGGTGACTCCTGCGGTTGCGGTAGCAATTGGGTTTCCAACAACAACAAGTCAGCCCAGCGTGGCAAAAGTCATTTTGACATACCCAATTTTTTCATATCGGTTTGCCTTTGTAAGCATTTTTAATCACACACTAACACGCTGACATTTTCATCCATTTGTAAATATATACGCTCGGCATTTTCACTGCAATTTGTTTCTTCAAACTTAATTATTTTCTATAGGCAACCTTCTGATTTTAATTTCATTTGTCACGGCCTGCACGAGTATTGGGTGTAGTTATTGTTTTTGTTGTTGTTGTATTTTCAATATTAGATGGGTTCGTCATGGTGTATTTATGACTATCGATTGTTGTACTCAAAGAGTGATGCCAGCAGCCGGATAATGGAGCACCAATAAATTTGAAAATATTTGTTTATTTATTAAATAATTTATTTTAATAGATGGACTTACAATATCATTGCACTTAAGGCAAACAATTATAATACAAATTTCCACCATTGCCTTCAAACCGTACTAGGCTTGAGCAAGTGCAAGCATGTCAATTAAGAGTTGGGCTGAAATGTCATTTGGTTGCTTCGCTTAAGTTATTTTTATGGCCGGATTCGTCCCCCTATCTTTTATGACCTTTACTTAACGTTCTTCCCGGGTTTGTTGGTACGAGACTGGCGGAGGCATGCTTTATAGCCAATACAAAACGTGTTAAAACAAATTAACTTGATTTATTTTGGTTTCGGCTTAACTTTGCAGCACCTTTCGTCAGATTGTTGAACAGTTTCGACGTCGTATTAGTAAACTCACGTTTCATGCGTTTGATGAATGTTGGATC